ATGTGATCTACTCGCCGAAATGGAGTGTATGTTTGTGCATGCAGTGTTGTTGGTGTCATGCTAGAGCCACTTGACTTGAGCCGTGCGTGCAGTTCACAAAGCTTATTGCCACGCAAAACTGAGAGATGCAGGCGGACGAGCTGAAGCTAGCGCAGCACCCAGCCTGGTCGTCGTGGAAAACCTGAGCGGGTTCAAGACAGCACCATAGGGATTGCGATAGGTCTTTATGCTTGCAGGCTCGCGCACGCCAGAATGCACGCTTTGCGTCTGCATGCAGAGACTGGGTCGTGCGTCATTATGACGACTGGAAAAGATCCTATATTGGCCCCGCAGGCTGGCAGAAGCACGTCTGCGTGGGCCGGATCGGATCCATACAAAAGTTCGTACTCGAGGTGCGAGCTTCTAGTTGGACTGTGCAGTGCATTCCACGGGCCCGAGCAGATGAAGAGTTCCTCCTCTGGTGCAGGGGCGGTGGGCTCCTCTGATTCCTCTTCGGAGCTGTGCGGATGCTCTTGTGCGTGTCTTTCCACCAGCTCTGCTTCCGAGTCCGTATCCATAGCCGGGGTGGGCTCTGGGTGCTTATTGAGCACATCTACGGCTTCGCTTTCGTTGTGCATGATTTCATGCCTTGATGTGAACATCTCCCAGGCCCCTGCTTGCAGTTGTTGTGCGTCCAGGAGATGCTGCGGGGGCTTTGCTGGCACAAAGAAAGGCGGTTCTGGAACTGGGGCTGCGCCGCCCCTAGCCATGCTGCGTTGCGGTCGCCACCCCTGGGCCAGCTGCGTGCAAAGCTCGCGCTGGAGGCGGAGAGCCTCCAGAGTGTCATTACGACTGTAAAGTCGGAGGCTGTCACGGTGGTGCCCCTGTGCGAGGCGTGCCTGCTCTGCGAAGTGTATTTGCGCAGCTGCTGCCAGCATGGTAGACTTCATGCTGTGCAACGTCAATGCTGACGACTCAGCAGCAGTGAGACCGTCTTGCTGTGCTAAGAATCTGAGGCAGAGCAGTGCGTGCGAATAGCTGCATGGGAATGTCTGTGGGTGCTTGTGCGAGCCCAGATCTGCATGGAAAAACATGAAGTCTGGCTCTAAGGTGGCCTGCATGCCGACCTCCACCAGGCAAGAAAGCCACTGCAGCAGCCAAGATGACTGCGTGCAACGCCCTGTTATGCCGTGCCAGGTGCATGCAAATGGTTGACCACATACTTAGTAGTTTTGGTGGCATATGCGGTGCCATGCAAACCTTGCGC